CGGTCAGGGCGGTGGCCTGCTCTCGTCTGATGAGACATCGTCTACTCAGCAGTACTCGGCTGGACTTCAGCTTGCCATACGGATAATAGAAGTGGCGATTGGAATAACAGTTGGTCTATTTGTGAGTCAGATCTTCGTATATGCCCTGGGAAGAAGAAAGAACGCCGCGCACTTTGCTTTCTGATGATATCTTCCAATTACACGCCATCTATCTATGTACACACATCATGCTGTAAACACTGTACCAGTAATTTGAATCGATGACAGACTAAGATGGAGAAGTGAGATTCGTGAATCAAGGTGTTCTAAAGATTACATGAAGCTTGTTACGAGTAGAGAATTAGTACAGGTATTCCAAAGAGTGTTCCAAAAAAACGAAGAAACGATAAACCTGAAAGGTTTAGATAAGTTACGCTGCGAAAAGCTGATTCAGCTCTTCCATGCGTCGTTGTAGCATGTCGGCTTTGCTGAAGTTCTGACCCAGAGTCATGTTGGCCAACTCGGTCTTCTTGCGCTGCACTTCCAGAAGGCGATCCTCGATGGAATTCTCGATGATAAGCTTGACCGTTGTTACAGGGCGTGTCTGCCCTAAGCGATGCTACGACGAAATCAGTGGACCGCAGCAAAAGGCGTGAAAAGGACTCACAATCCTATCCACTGCTTGATTCTCAACTGCTGGATTCCTGCGAAAGGCTTGAGCAACACTTGAATCACGCGAATTATAAAGATAAACGTTACCAATATGGGTCCATCAAGTACACACGTTGGGCGGCAGTCAAGTTTAAGCCTACTCCTCCGGCCTTTAAACTGACTAGAAGGACTTCACACCCGGGATCATGTTTCAATGCTTCCATGGCGCGGGTACGGTCATCACGTTTCATCGTGCCATCGAGACGATCATAGCGAATGCCAGCCGTCTCCAACGCATCTTCGATCCTAAACTCGGATGAGACAACACCACTTTGCGAAATTGTAATCACATACTTATCTAGCATTGTTGTCCATTGGGAGCTAGAACATAGAGATAAACTGTGAGATCCGTCAGATGAGAATTAGACACATACAAAACAACAGTCTTGATTACGCCATCATCGAGTTTATTGCCTTCATTATCCACCATTTCCACCTCAATTGAATCGGGGTCGTAATTGACAGAATGTGGGTTTGCCCGGGAGAATTGCATAAGGTCCCCGAGTAAGGCCTTGACTTTGGTAGACGGATGGAAGTTCTCGAGTGCAACACCTTTGGTTCGCTTTTCTCGCTTGACTGGCTTTTTCTTGACACCAAAATCAACTGGCGAGCAATCAGGTCGAACTCGAACTGCATCTTGCGGTAAAAGACCAGTCTGGCAAGCCGAGCAGGAACGGCGGACATCGGTGGGAACATCTGGCCAACCTGGGCATACACACTGACGGTAGCATCCCAGGCAAAACAGATGCTGGCAGCGGGTGAGGACGAGTGACGGTGCTGATGGACTACTAGCTCGCGTAGGGGCACGGGAACCGGAACCTTTAGTCTTCCTGCCTCGCTTGGGTGCCGACGGACCATCCATATCCATGGCACCACCACCAACGTCCATCTGCCCCTGCTGATCAGAAGACATACACAGCTCTTCTCCGCATTCAACGCATTGAGTTGTAGCTGCTTCCCGTAGCAAGGCAACGATCGCAGCTGCACGAGTAGGATTGAGACCTTCCTTCCCAATGGCAGCGGCAATGTCTTCGTAACTGGTGAGGTCCATGTTCTGCATATCTCCTAGTGGTCCTTTACCCTCCACAAGCTCGAAGTGGTCGCAAATCTGTCGGAGACGCAAGATTTTCTGGAGTATGCCAACGTAGTTCTTCATGACTTCATTTTTGTTGGAAAGCTCGTTGAACTCGGCTTTGGACTCCGAGAAGAATTGGTCGTAGATGGTCTGCTCATGCGGATCAAATTTCAGATACCGGAGTTCATCGCGACGTGGAGGGAGATGGAGTATTCGACGGCCATCAGAAGCCTTCGACTCCTTTGTTCGCCTCAAGGTAATGCACTTCATGATCATCTGAAGACGTGCAACACCCAATGACTGCCCATACTTGACTGGAGTGCCAATGAACTCCGTCCAGATGTTCTTGTCATCAAAAGGCTCCAGGCGCAAGAACTTGATAAGAGCATACACATCATCAAGCTTGTTCTGAACGGGAGTGCCTGTGAGGCATAATCGGCGGTCTGCCATTAGATCGCAAGAGGCACGACTGCCAACAGTCTGGGTTTCCTTGATCGAACTGGATATAATGGTGTGTTAATCGTGATACATGGGGAAATTATGCAAGAACGTACTGAGCCTCATCAAGCACAACACGAAACCAGTGTATAGTCTGCAGAGCACTAGACGCCTCAGACGCACCAAAGCTCGAACAAGATTTTTTCCTCTTCATTCCTGCTCGTTTTGGTTTCGGCAATTTGAGTACTTGATTACCGCGTTCGTCAAGGTCGACCCCACCGTACCCGTCACTGCTACCATCATCGTCATCTTCGGCTTCTACATTCGCCATCTTCCGATTTTGCTTTGAGTATTCCGATGCTAATGTCGCATACGTAGTAATGACAGCGTCAAAGTCTGCAAGGAATGCTGCGTCTGGTCGTCGGGAATTTCCATGGTATACGTAGACACGAAGTGGTCGACCTTCCCGTTTTCGACGAGGTGGCTTCATTTCCACTTTGGTTTCGGCCTGAGAAGATGGAGGGGAATTATTCTGTAAGGAAGACAACGTGGCGGCGGAGCAGCTCATCCCACCGCCACCCACAACAGTGACTTCTCCTCGCCAATGTTCGCGAAATTGATCTTCCCAATTCGATACAGTGGAAAGAGGGCATATAATCAGCGTCGCTCGACTTTTCGCCTTAATACGACAAGCTCTAGCGTATTCAGCTTCGGCCTTATCCTGGGCTTTTGCTGCCTTTCCTTTGCCCTTGGTGGAAAATGATGGAGAATCAACCTCCGGTATTCCCCACACACTCCCCGCGAAATGAGCAGCAGTCAAAGGATCCTCCAGCATACTCCGTTCCGGAGGAGGCGCGGGCGGAGGCGGTAAAGGCGTAGCAGCAAATGCGTGTGCAGAATCGAGTGTTGCTGCAATAAGGGAAACGCAAGTGATCGTCTTGCCGAGACCCATCTAATCGGAAGACAAGGCACGCTTCGTCAGATAGGGCAGAGATAAAGGGCGGAGGGCAAACTGACATCATCTGCGAGAATAGCACCTTTGGCTTCTTGGGGTTCTTGAAAGACCTCTCTCTGGGTAACTATATGAAACCAAGATGATTGACCTGTATGGAGATCGTTCCGTGGCTGCCACAATGACGAGTAACGACCGTCTGCACAGCGTTTTCTCCCGTTCACGCTCGAGTAGAAAAGTGACCGCCTTCTTTTGATGGGGATACAACGTCGTTCCTATGTCATTACCTTTCGAAGCCAGTCAGATGAAGACAAGGACCACAAAAAATAAACACAACACTAACTAGGCTCTGTCTCTGCTAATTCGTCTCCACTTTTTAGACTCTTGAAAAGCTCGTCAATTTGGCTTCGTTGTACTTCTAATGTTTTGCCGGAAACCATGGGAGCATTCCAACGAGAGCTATTTCCTCCTGGACCAGCATATCCAGATCTGGAAGGAAGCATAGAACGATGGCCCCCAGGTGGTGGAGCATGCGGGTTACAATAGTGATAGTTCATGAGGCGTGAGATATCATATGGGCCAGAGGGGTGGTCAAGCATTAGACCGCATGATTGCAGATAATTGCCAACGACAGCGATATTGCCTTTCGGTGTATAAACCAGCATCTGGAGAGGTAGTATAGGAAGCTTGGCAGAGCGAATGAGCGAATGCGAGGTTCCTCAGAAAGAAAGGAACATCACTTACGTTTGGCGAACCACGCCGCACCTTTGCATCTAAGCGGATCAAGCCCTTACCTAGCATGGGGCCGAGATCTGTGGCGACTTTTTGTTCGACTACACCAAAAGCTTCCCCTTGAGAAAGTTCGCCCGACGATGTTTTACAACTAGGCGTCTTGATATGTATCGTCTCAGTTGCACCTGCCCTCTGAGGATTGTGTTCATACTGCAAGCGGACGTTTGCCCACTCGACATCAGTAATTGAATCCTGGCCTTGCAGATAGGACACGGGGTATAGCACAAGTGCGGTGACTGTGAGCTGTCCTATGCAAACTGGAGTCTTGGGATGAAGGTCATCAGGTAACACGGAAGAGATGGGCTGTTGGCGAGGCCGAGGACTAGGAGGTGGTGACGGAGAGTCGGTAAGATCAATGACCTGATGATTTGAAGGCGGAGCGGATGAAGATTGACGAGTTGGAACAAGAGGAGGCAATGTGCGCGCACCGCCTGTAATTGGCAGTTGAGCAGACGTATTCCGTGGTGCTTGCGATAGACCAGCAAAAACGGGACGATAGTTGGAAGATTGTGGGTGAAGCGGTGGCGGCGACGAATTAAAAGATGTCTGGTCAAGTGGTGAAAATACGCTGGGTTTCATTGGAGGAGAATGATATGCGAGGGGCAGTTGATTTGGAAGAGAGTATTTAGCGTAAGATTGCTGGGGTTCAGTTGAATGCACTGGATCATAGAACATACTCTGCCTGGGCGGAGGGGAATGATAATCGGTTGTTGGGCGCTTCAGGATGCCAGAATTGAAAACGCTCTCAGAAGAATTGGGTTCATCGTCTTCTAGGGTAAGGTCAATATGATTCGCCTGGTTGTATGAGTCAAGTGACAAATTCTGAATATTAGGCGATGATCCCGATGGTGCATGTGTCGCCATTGTGCATGACAATGAGGAAGAGAGCGTTCCGGACGTCACGGACGACGAGTAAAACAGCAAGCGCGAAAGAAGCTGTCCAGTTTAAAGATCATGTCGCAAGAACACGTGACCATCATTAATTCAGTTATCCTTTCTCACGCTCACCATGCCTCGGACTATGTATCAGTCAGCCGCCGGTATTTTCCGTGCTTCCGGACGCGAACAAGATAATAATTAGACTCCATCTCCCGTAGACTCATGGTCACGTTGGTCTCTACTATGTAATGCTCCTACAGATAACCCTCTGTACTGATTTAGCGTAGTCCGTCCACGGCAAAAAAAAATTATGGAGAAGAATTAATACCTGCTCGCCATTTCATTCCGTTCCTACGAACGCAGTCGGACATCAGACAAGTCATATATCTTATAATAGTGCTGTTCGGGCACACAGCCATATGCTCCGGTAAGAGTCCGTGGTTGGAACTTGCCCGAATAGCACTGCTATGAGAAACGCCTAGTACGCCCACATCTGATGGCGCTAACCTCCTGTAAGAAGAGGCAACTGAGGTCGAACGTCAACCAATCAAGGAGATTCACACTTACGAGGTGCCCATCCCATCTCATAGTAAGCCTGTCTTGCAGCTTGTTCTTTAGCTTGTTGTTTAGTGTCGCTGGATCCTTTACCCTTCTCGATCCCATCAACTGGTCCCACATTCGATTATTAAACGCTATTTCAATAGATAAAATGACGTTACATGTGCTCACCAATGCAAGTCACGTTCCATTTTCCGGCATGGGGAGGACCCACTAGTGATGATGGGTAACTGACGCTCACACCACGTTGATGAGCTGTTTGATTGAACAGTGGTAGAAATGCGAGGTGAGGTTGAGCAGGGGCCAGCGGATTCGGAGGTGAGATCCTTGGGGGAGACGGTAGTCTAGCCAGAGGTGGCCGCAAGTACGGATTATAAGGGGAGGGCTGTGGGAAATTGGTGCGTGGGTGTATAGGTGGTGGTGGCAACGGGTGCACCGAAGGTCGTGTTTGTGGGGGCGGCTGGTGCGGCGAAAAAAGTGATGGCAATTGGTAAACTGGTGGAGGAAGGAATGGTGGTAACGGTGGTGGAGGAGCAGAAGGCTCCTCAACTTTAATCCGTTTTGAGGTGGGAGCAGGCGATGATGGTTTTGAAGTCATCGAGGCGATATCAACATCCATATCTTGATTATCGTTCAGTATCGTAGTGGACAGCCGAAGGAGGCCGCCTATCCACTCGTGCACTGTCTGGAGCCCGTGCTCAAGGAACACGGCTCCCAGATAGGCATTGAATATTAGGCGCCCTTCCTAGACCTGGATGAGAATTGAACAATGTGCACGATGAATAAGTAAGTACCTCGGGAGTCTGGAGTGATTGTAGACACCTGGGGTCGCAACGAAGCTCCTCTCGCAGCCGGTACAGTTTTGACCAGATATCAATCGTTGCGTTAGTCAAGAGTTGCGTCCGTTGTACCTACTCAAAAGTAGAAGTAATCATGAACATTCAGAAAATATATGACTCACCTCAATTTGATGCACTGTAAGCTTGGGTTTTCGGAAGAAAAGTAGTTCCGTTGTCATCATCTCCAAAATATTGTGACCAAGGACCGTCAACCGCTCGTTGTCACGAAACTGAGCATTGCACGCAAGTCGGAGAGATCTGTGGGTGAATACTTCGAGAATAATATGCCCTGTAAGCTTCGGAAGGTCAGGTAGCTCCTCTGGCATTGCGTCGAGGGTCTGTGAACGATTTCGTTTGAGGGTATTATGTGACATTCCGAGGCCAGGTTCAGGCGTTGATTCCATGGAGAAAAGAGCAACACTGTGGCCACGAAGGCGAGGAGGCAGAGACATTAATAATTATAAGATGTGCAATGTTTATCCAAGGTGAATCCAAAAAGATCTTCGTGGCTCAAGATGGTGGTTGTGCTGCGTGTTCATTCAAAAGTTGTCACAGTGGGTCCATAACCTATATTTAGATAAAATTACGTACAAAGTTCCGGCTCTTTGAGGTGGCAGTCAGCCGTTAATTGGCAAACACACAAGTTGTTTTGTCCACTGCCAGCAGGAGTACTATTCTGCCGCCTCACTCCCGCCAACGGAAACTGAGCTACAAATGACGGAAAGCCCACTAGATCCCGGTGTTCTTGAACGGACATGGAGCATATTGAGTGTTTGCATCTTTCGAGCCGAGCAGTAATTAATCCATGGTCTTCATTCTGTATGAATGAACTGCAATTTAATTTTCTAGCCTAGGGACATATGTTACATTCTCGCAAGTACGTTTATCTGCATAGTTCTTCGATAAGCAATGGCTTGATAATATTTGTCTCCCCAGCATAGTGAGTGATCGTGTACTTGGTCATCCACATCCTGAGCTCGTTCTTGCAAAAGGTCTCGTCGCAAACCAATATATACACCACGTCTTCTCTCGTATGCCCTACTGCTTTGGAATGAGTTCGGTTCAATTGATTCATCGAGAACCCACCTGCCTTCCAGGAACATGATCATCACACTGCCGATTTCCATTGCCTGGATCACTATTTTACTCGAGCGACATTCATCCTTTCCAACTCCATGAAATTGCAAGCTTCTTTGAAATGCTTTATACTTATACGTGACTCCTCTATCGAATTTCAACCTTGCCTGACCCCTTATAGTGCTGCGAATGCGATGTACAGATTTTTTGCAATTGCGCCGCAGTTGGCCGACGAGTTTCTCATACCGAGTGGTACGTTCCTCCATGACAGCATGGCAGGAACAACCGTCTGGTCTCGGTGCATCGTATGCGGCCTCTTGTAGAAACGCATCACCTACCCAATGCATAAATGCATAAAGATATCCATCGTCACTCGCGTTATGCTAACGCATGCATTGAAGGAGGAGACAAATGGCTTCAAGGAGACGACAATAGGCCGTTATCAAATACTTTTGTAGAAACCATAACTGGGACTGCTTTCGGCTAAAATCCGTTTTCTTCAATACAGTAAAACATTTTCTTGTGTTCTCGCTACCACTACTAAGACCGCTGCACAACAGCAAACACAAAGTTTACGCTTATTTCGCTTATTTCAGTAGTTATAAGACAGCATGTAAAGTATGGGAAAAGATCTGCACTCCTCACTGGCCCAACATCGAAGGCCCACCGAACGCACTGTAACGAGCTGCTTCCTCAGCATCTTGCTTCCGCCGCTGGCGTCTAAGCTGTTTCTTAAGACTATGCACTGTGGCCTGTTGCGAAGGGTCCTGCTCTAACCGTAGGATTTGTGTTGTGATACTGTAGGTTGAACGTCAGAAAGTTACATGCACTACAAGGCGGGATACATCACCTGCGAGGGCCAAGTGCGATGACGGGGCAATCTTCCACATGGTGATATGGACCTCCACAAACTGGGCATTGCGCGGTTGATAATTTATGCTTCTTGGAAGACGATGACTCCGCCACAGGCACAGGTGATGGCCTTCGTTTCGATGGCAGAGCGGGTGGCTCAACGGTTCTACTCTTCCTCTCCCTGTCCTTATCCATGATGGAAAACTCCAGTCTTGCCTGTCGCCCAGCTTTCTTGGCCTCGCCTGCAGGTCTGGAAAGTTGAGAAGGTGACACTACGGAAGGCTTGGCGGACGAAGATTCGAGCGGGGTAACAGAAGAAGAGGTAGATGGCTTGGATGACGAGACTGTCCTCGGTTGCTGAACACCCAATGAATCACGAGCATGTTTCTTTTTTTGCTTGACATAAACCTGGTTGCTGTTGCCGTTTGCGACAAGTTTGAGCGGCTGACCATTAAGAAGATGGCCATGCCCCCTTTTAAAAAGCGTCTGCTCTATAGCATCGATAGCAGCTGCCTAAAGTAAGTGTTAGTATCTTCATGAGATTATGTGAAGCGACGTCCATACCCTGACTGCCCATGGCTCATCCGACCCATGACTCGTCAGTATTTCCCTGTACTCCACCAGATTGGAGGAGTCTTCGGTCATGTAGCAAATCCCCTTTCCATGGCGCGTGTTACAAAGACCACAAAGCAGGTTATCCTCATCTTCTTTTACCGAGGCCTGTTCTCGATACTTGGCTCTGGCCTTGGCTTTCATCTTCACCTTGTCAGAGGTCGTTAAGAGTTCGTCAACCACGTCCGCGTCCATTGAGCTAGTACCCGAATCGGTTGCTTGTGCGCCAGGCGTACCCGGATAAGCGTCGGAATCGCTGGATGCATCTGACTTCGAAGGTCGATGTTTCTTCTTTTTCCTGCTCATGTCGGGCGAGTCTTCCAGACCTTCGATGTGATCAAGCTTTTGCTGTGAAAACAATCAACCTTGCACATTAGTGGGTAGACGTCATCGGAATCACCTGAGGGAATATAGCAGCCGCCTTCCTGCGAACGCCTCTGCCTGTGACTTCGGTTACCTGCTCCGCACCTTTCGCGGCGGCTATTCGCTCAAGCGCTAGGGCCCAAGAATCGCCCTGTTCTGTATCCGGAACATCCTCCTGGATCTCTTCCATTGTGTCCTTGTCTGCCGCCCATACCTTGGCAAACGCAAAGGAGAGCCCAGTCTCCTTGGTAGCTGCCTGTTGATCACCCTCTACTTCAGTCTTCTCGATGAGTTTCTCAACGTCATTGTCGACGTCTTAAAAACGAATTTGAGCTCTTCATCCGTCTAATGACGGCAATGATGTACGCACAAGCTATGTCCTTCGAAGACTCATCACCTTCTTCAAACAAGGTTTTAGCTCCAAACGTAAGGATCGACTGAAGATCTTCGCCAGCGCCATCGTCGTCATCCATCTTCTGAACAATTAAATGGTCGAGAACAAGCTTCTTCTTCCCCATTAGCATAATCCGTTCTAGAATACTCTGTAAGTGCCAACACAAAAAGTCGCCTGGGGAGTCATGCCTTCAGCCGAATCTTTGACCATGAACTTGAACACCAAGCACGTCTTCGTCTGCCCATACCGGTGAGAGCGAGCTATGGCCTGAAATATGTCACTACCGAGGTTAAAAGCCTAATATGAATCATGCCATACTTGCAAGTCCTAGAATGCCAGATCTGAGTTAGGACAGCCAATAGGAATAGATCAAGTCACACACACCTGGTGAGGGTTGAAATCAGGATCGAAGATGATGACTGTATCTGCGGTATACAAGTTGATTCCGACGCCGCCCGCTCGAGTACTGAGCAAGTAGATGAAAACATCCGAGTTAGGTTTGTTAAATTCGTCCATGCCCTTTTGGCGATCGGCCTGTTTAGTGTTTCCGTCCTAGAAAGGGTCAAGAACGCCATTTACATTTAACAAGGGCGCGGATAATTACCAGGCGCAAGTACTTGTAGCCTTCACCTCTGACGAAATCCTCAATAATATCAAGCGCCATAACAAACTGTGGAACATAGGTCATCGGGATGAATTACTGGAGTGTTCCACCCACCTGACTAAACAATAGTATACGATGACCTCTGGCCTTCAGTTTGGGTAAAAGCATCTTCAAAAACCGCAATTTGGTGCTAGCACCTATCAGTCTCTCGTGAGCCTCTGCAGGGGTGAGGTTGCGAGGCTCTATGTCCTCAGAATTAAGATACGGATGTTGAAGGCATCTACATAGGGATGAGTACCAAGTGTCTACGGCTATGCAGTGGTGAACTGACTTGCGAAGTTGCATCAACATATTATTCAAATTGGCCTTGCTGACTAGGGGTTTTCCCGCTTTGGTAGTCGCAGCTTGGGTCAGACTTCGGAGAATGTCCAAATTTTGGCCTACAGGACAAAAGTTAGTATATAACAAAGTTAAGCCGCGATGAACACGTACTGAGGATAGATCTATAGATTTCCTTCTGCAGAGGCGCCATGGAAAGGGGAACGATAACCTCGTTCTGGAGAATATGAGAATACAGCCGAATTCGCTGGGACAAACACACCTTGGGGGGAAGTTGTAGAACTTCGCTCTTGATGCGCCGCAAGAAGTAAGGCTTGAGTCTAATATGCAGCTGCCGCACCAGCTCCTCATTCAATTCTTCATGCTCTTTTTCCAAGGCCTCAAGGTCACTCCATTCTTCGGGATCAAGGAAGTTCATGAGGTTGAAAAGCTCGCGGATGTTGTTGTTCAGAGGTGTCTGATGAAGTTAGCTGCTGATTGTCAGACAATCGCGGAGGTGGCTTACCCCAGTCATGATCACGCGATGAATCGTATGCAGCTCGTTAAGTTTTTTGAACAATAGACTATGATCGCTCTTCACTGAGCCGGGGTCAGCAATGTTGTTTGTGATTAATACTGAGTAACTTACAACGTTGTCCTTCGTCCACAACAAGGACTTCCCAACGCGGAATGCTCTTAAACACCGAGTTGAAACCCCTAGGGTTAATTAGCGTTTCATAAGTGGTCACCAACACATGGTACTTGGGTTCCGGACCACCCTTTCGGTCGGAGGGATGGAACAACTCGTATTCAATGATCACGTCCCGAGCCTTCGCTTCCCCGTAGAACGGTACTACTCGTAACTTTGGTGCCCAACGAGTAAATTCCCGAACCCAGTTCGTGATGGTGGAGTTGGGAACAACGACAAGAGCAGGAGCTCCTTGCCATTTATCGATGATAGTCCCGAGGAAAGTCACGATTTGGACTGTCTTACCCTGTGTAAAGTTAAACGTGAGTAAGTAGGAATGATGTTTACTGATGGGCGCACCAGGCCCATCTCATCGGCAAGGATACAAGGCTGTGAATTCCACCAATTGTCACAGAGCCAGTCAAAGCCATCCATCTGGAAGATCGTTAGCATGTTGGCCGGACAGAGAATGCTAAAGAGCAAACCTGGAATGGCATGAGTTGGAGTTGACTGTTCTGACCGAGCTTAGGTTGACGTTTCTGACGAAGGGCGTGTTGTGCGTATCCATCCTTCACTCTGCTCTCCAGCTTCTTGACGTCCTTGTCCGATTTTCGAACGAAAACGTTCTGCGAGTCTATAAAGCGTTGGAAAGCTTCCCCGAATGCTAAGTAACCAGGCTCGTCAGAACGAGGGGGAGAATCCCAGGTTGCTATTTTGCCAATTGAGTTACACAGCGACAATCGAGAAGAAATATTCACCTTCATTATAGCCCAGGTCATCCCATTTGATAAATGCCCATGCGACATACTTAATATCCTTGATGTTCAGCTCCGACTTGTCAACAGTACGCAAGAAATCGTCGACATTCTCCATACAGTCATCACTAGGTTGTTCACCTTTCAACTGCGCTTTCACCAGCTGATCCTGGAGCTCCAGAGGCAATTCCAATTCCCCATCGCTCTCCACGACCGAGCTCCTTTTACCTTTCTTTCTACGCCCCGACCGGTTGACTGTCCAGAAAAGTACGTCCAGCACACGATCCGTAGTTTTCCATGCAGGGGGAATATAACGCTCTGCATCTGGCAAAGGACTTAGAGACGATACCGACTTGGGCTTGGCCTCCACCTCGGGAGTCTGACTGACATTGACCTCGAATAACACCGGCTGAGCTGGTATCCCTTTCGCGGAAGAATCCACCTGCATGGCGTTTTCTTCAGCAGCAGGATTGTCCAACAACTCTACTTTGGGCCCAGTCGCAATGAAGTTTTTCAGCTTCGTATATGTTGTAGATGCCAACCACATGTGTGGAACCCATTGGGTGCGTCGATAACTTCGCTCGTTCCATTTGATGAGGTACTCCCGAGGTAGCATGCTCTTCGGATCTGGAAAATTCGTGGACGAGTATCGCGGTTCAATGGCGTTGGCAGGATATGGGCGCCATGCAAGAATCTTGTCTACGGTGTACTCATACGAGAAGCAATCCGCGCAACGCCATCCAGTCTCGAATTGATAGAAGGATGCGAGTTTGATGTCGTCAACAGAAGCCGGGTCATCAGGTTCAAAGGTATCTGGAATAGGAAGATGGCGATAATGGGCGAGACGCTTGCAGGTGAAGCATCGGTAGACAAGCTCTCTTGCAGGGCCCGATGGACTGTCAGCGGCATTCGAAGAAGTCTGCGTAGCGTCAACCATTTCGACATCCCGAGTAAGCCCTGCGAGTCTAGGTTCCGAAACGGCGGGTGGTGCAGCGGACTGTTTCGTGATGGATGAATCGGCTTCTAGAGCAATCTCCTTGCAGCCCATACAAATTCCGCCCTTCATGCAGTTGGCACATATGAACTCCGTGGTCTGCATAATACCGAGCTCCTTGCGATTTGGAAGCTCGGAGTCTGGAGGCTCGTGACCGTCTAGCTGTTGACTCTTCCATTCCTCTTTATCACGCGCATGCGCTGCACGGGTGATTTCATCTTTCTGGGTCTTTGCGAGACAACGCCAATGAACTGCAACCGGACACTTTAGGCTGCGTTTTGGACATAAGTATTCGAGAGAGTTAAGTCAGTTTGATCATACCATCGAACCCAACCACCAAAGGACTGAATGAGATCATCCTCGTTCTCCTCGGATCCATAGTCGTCGTCCTTGCGAATCTTTTTCCTACCTTTTTTTGGCTTTTCCAATTGCACGTGAGCAGGAGCTTTGTGACATTTCTCGCAGATGTCCCGATGAGAGCGCAGTAATTCGGTTTCCTCCTCCTCATAGGCATCAAACTCAAGATCCGCAACAGAACGAAAGATGCCATAGGCAGGTCGGGAAACAGGTCCCCGCTTCAGTCGCTTTTGAGTTTTTGCGACTGCTCTGGACTTTCCAGCCTTCTTGGAAGTTTCCATGTATGATTCGCCATCGCTTTCACTGTCACCAGCGTCCTCAACGTAATCCTCTGCGAGGTTAGTTCTTGCGCTCTTGCGCTCACGAGTGGACCTGCGAGCAGGAATGACATCTATGATGTCCTCCTGCTCGTATCCTGCCAATTCATCCTCCGATTCGGTCATATACCGGCGGACATGCCTGCTGCGTAACTTTTTGGGACTGAAAGGAAGCTTTGTTTGAGTTGTAGCACGTGATGTGCTTTTGCCCTTGGCAGCCGCTCGGATAGGCCTAGAATTGGCTTTGCGGGTGGGCATGCTCTGGTCCTGGCGGTATTCGTCTTCGCTCCGGTCGTCGTCCTCTTGCTGGTCAGATTCAGAAGGTTCCGTAAGATCAGACAGGGAGGCCAAGGACGAGGTATAGCCCCACGCTCTCGTGCTCCGGGCAACACCATTGACCATGTTTATGGTGACGATAGTCCTAATGCGAGAATCCTCGTGCACTGCGCTAGAGGATGGGTCAAATTCACCGAGCTCTCCGGCATCTTTCTTTTGATCTGCGATACAAGTTATGAGACATGCGCTATACATGCCACCAAAGTGGAAGCTAACCGTATTCCTCAACTAGCTCAGCATATTCGGCCTGGAAGTCACTAGCAGGAAGCTACATATATATATAAGTTACGCGTCAGATCTGCGAGGAAATTTGAGGCAAAGCGATGCGCACTTTATATGCTAGCCCATCCTTGAAACGCACAAAGTAGGACAGGTCTGTGCCATCGTGGTATTCGCCTACTACACTGTCAATGTCATCCCTGTCGAAAGTCACGCCTTCTTTGAATTCTTCAGGAACAGGTTTGTACTGTTTCCTCTGCGATTCAGACAAGACAGGAAGCTCTATGAAAAAGGACGCTTTGGGACGCGTCGTAGGAGTCATCGCAACTTTGGTGGACGCGACGCTACTATAAGTAGTAGGTGGTGGTCCGCCAGGGGAGCTAGATTTTGGTGGAGTAAAGAGTAAAAGGGGATCAGAGGTCGGAGAAGACATGCTGGGAATGTCTTCTCAAAAGACGCCGTTTCCACTTTGAACCTGAGTGCGTTTTAGACACGCTTTCTTAGAAATGAATGAGCGTTTACAGCAAGACGCGTATGATTTGTCAGCTCGCGTTTTCGTGTTCTCCCGTGGGAATTCAGACGATGCCCCCAATACGCATTAAATTATCAATGACAGAAAAATGGAAGAGAGCTGCATAATGGCAGGATAAATGGCGCGATATATAGTTCGTGGTTAAGGGCAAACATGATAGTGCATCTAATGTCACACGAATCCCCCAGAAACGAGCCACTTATAGCACTCCGCTGCAAGTTCTTCACCATGGTCTATCAATCACAATCAGTATCAAGATAGTACAGAACATTACATACAAGGACACACTGATACAGAACGCATGCGGGATATTGCGGTGCCCATGTACGACTTTCACAGTGCCGGGTTCTGGCCTGAAGACCTGGAGAATCGTTTCTCTTCCTTTGTCAACCCAGTCGTCGTTCTCTGCAAAGTAAAACCAAATCTGGTGTTGAAATGTTTCCAAGGTAGCAACATCCAGTTCTCTGATGCTGAGCATTTCATCGTGTGCCATCGTCATCGCAGCAAAGATTGACGAAGGAGACAGTAGGAACGACTGAAGAACACGGACTTGGGGTATCGGGTATTGTGGAAACAACCGACAAAATATGGTTAGTGGCATAAGACGCAATGCCTGGGCAACCTGTGATACAATGCGCGGAAACGGAGGCCGAAACAATCGCTGGAAGAACAGGAATCATGAGCATGACTACTACCAAAACTCGACTACCAACCGACAACAGTCGACCATTCGGTGTACAAGCAATGTTGGTGATAGTCGGGAAAAGGAAGAAAACTCCCGAAATGGCAGCGGATCGCAGTTTCAAGACCTTTCAAAGAACGTTGGAGAGGCAGCACTGTGGGACACTTCAGAGACGGTACCTGCAGAGCTACCCATGAACCAACGCTGTGGCCAGCGATCACAGTACGCGTATCGACGCTAAAATATGTGCTCAAAGCATCGAAAATTCGAAGAGAGTTTTGGACCTGAAACGGCAACGCATGGTTAGATGAAGCACGACTTGCTGGCGCAATATCCTCGACAGCAGGGTCGTGTCCAATATGTGAATGCGACAGTATCGCCAGTGTCCCAGACCTGTCTTGTTTGTGTATTGCGGTGAGAAATGGATGATAGAAGTCAATGACCCCAGGATTTCCTGTAGCCATTCAAAATAAACTCGGATGAGGTGCTATGGTGAACCTACCTGGTATAAAGAGTAGAATTGTGGAAGGTGACACACCCAATCGTTTGCAAGGCCACCAGTGCACATGTACAGGTGGTATACCTTCACTGGCAGGAAAACGAGCATTTATATATGGAACGCTGAAATCTAGTGCCAGAGATTCTAGAAATGGGGGTAAACTGGTCCTGGAATCGCCAGTCATCCTGGGGTTCTGAATCGCCACTGCGAGTCTGTGAAAGTTCGTAACGTTTGAGTATATTCTAAGCCAACTTGAATATAGCAGTGGTTGTTTACAAATTACCACGGGTGACGGTATGGCCTGAGGCTAGTCTGAAAACGGAAGTAGACTACTTACCAGATAGCTTGAGCCGTATTTGGTGAACAAGTCACTTCTGGCTCGCGGTCACACAACTCAGATGTCTCGAATACCGACCTTTCCTGTCGAACCGATAGGCGCTCCCTCACTGAACAACTCAAACGGTTCTTATTCAACTACCAGACCGTTGCAGATCGCTCGCCCGCCATCACGCCAGGCAGCCCCCAGTAACAACACACTTACCTCCTCCTCACCCAAGGGCCAAGGTTTTTCATCACCCAAGGGTCCCCTCCGCCCACAAAGGTCAGAATTGAGACCGCGCCAGATATCTGAGCATTCCGAGCGGGCTTCCACTTCTTCTCGAGCAACGCAACTCGAAGATTACGCGGCAAGGGACCGTAGAGATAGTTCCAGCACAACGCGCTCAGATTCGTCAGCTGTGCCGCAATACCATAACGGAAATATAATAACTGCAAATAACAGGCCCCAGGTGGACATTCCGCGATCCAGCGCTCAAGATGAGATTTCCCCGACAACCCCTGCACTGGCTTCTGTCTTGGCTGCCTTCAGGGAAGCTGGAGCTCGTAAACGTGCGATGGCAAATGGTAGCGAAGATATAGCATACGAACAAGAAAAACAGAGGGAGAAGGAGAAGGAGATGAGGAAGCAAGAGCGCATCCGCGAGCGAATACCATACCGGAAAGCAACCGGGAAGGCTAAAGCAGGAGATATCGATGGTGAGGAATCTGATCATCGCAACCTGCCTAGCTTCGTGTTTTAATTATCTAATTGTGTGCTAACATCGCGTTGTAGCTGTGCTGGACCAGATCAAGGACGAATGGGAGTTTGTCATTGACCCTGATGTAAGGCGTAGATTCTACTGTCAACCAGTAGCTGAGCGAAATGATCTTGCAATCGTCGCAGTTTAACAATGTTGACTTGGCTTTGTCACTACTCGATGACTCTTCGACAGGCAAAGGCATCGAGTCTTTTCGACAAACCAAGGTAATGCTTTCGCATGCGTTAAAAGGATCAGTAGACAGTAAGCCCCGAGCTCTGCACTCGCGTCCTTATTTAATGATGTTTGTGCTCAGAACACCACAAGGCGTTTGCGGACGCACTTCCACATCATGCTGCTCTTCTCAATCACCTTGGACTTGCCCAGACGCAAATAAAACAGTCGAAGACAGCTCTTATGGAAGCGAAGGAGGCTTTGGGAAATAAGCGCGCTGACCTTGTTCAACTGTGGTCAAGGGGACAGGTGTTAGAAGAAATGATGCGTTTATTGGATCAGATGTCAGTTTCTTTTAATATGTCAATTGGTCCATCTACTGATTATTCATATGTAAAGCGAGCATCTGAAATCGGTGCCCGACGTACTCGAGACTCTGATGTCGGAGAAAAGGTTGCTTCAAGCATCAGTTCTCCTTGTGCGGAGCCTTAAGTTGATCAACAAACCCGACATGCAAGAGATTGGGGCAGTTTCAGATCTGCGAAGTTATCTGATTAGTCAGGAAAATGTGCGTTTGTTAATTGCTCAGCAGCACGTAACATCTTATGACTTAGCAGGCTCTACGAGAAATATTGATCGACGAACTTCACAACCATCTTTATCTCAAATCCTTCTGGTGCGAGTCGCGGTGGGCTGCCTTTAAGCCGAATCAGACAGCTTGTAAGTCATGCCAATTTGTACAACTCTCGCCTTAACATGTCTTCGAAGTTCCTAAGGTTGAATTTGAGAACGAATTGAGTGGACAACCGTCTCCGAATGGTATTGCATATTCTTCCCCTGAATCGTCTTCACCGAAACTTGTATCTTCCCGATTATCTCGCTTTCTCAACTCTCTTGCACTCCGACCAAACGACCCTCCCCATGATCTCAGTGAATCGAACTTTCGCAGCAATATGTCTGTTCAGGATTTGTCTTCTTCGTCTCTTCCATCCGCTCCGTCTTTCTCGTCGAATCTTAATCTTGTTGCGCTTGCAACTCCGGCTTCTCAGACACCTCAACTTGATGCAAACCCGGAAGGTAACTCCTTCGCCTACATCGAAACTCTACTGGAGTCCCTCGCAGTCCTGGGAAAGCTTGGGAGTGCGCTCGATATTGTCGCACAGCGTTTGCAAGGCGAGATATACTCGTTGGTCGAGTGTACCTTGGACGAAGTTGAGGAAAGAACGGAAGAGTCTAAAAGAGTTTCTCTGTTCGGCGCAGCCAGCCTAGGAAGACGGTCAGAGGGTGGGTATATCTTCGTTGCCAACGATTCTGTCGGCATCACTCCAGATGGTGTTGTTCCTTTGATGCCAGCAAAAGGTATTATCCTCCGGACCTTTTCCTTACGCCTTGCAGCACTGGAGTCTTCCACGAAGCAAGTTGATCAGGAAACACTGAAGGACTTCTTTTGGACTGTTTATTCCAAGCTTGATGCAGTAACCCAGGGATTAAGGGTAGTTTGTGAGGTTGCTAATCGTATAGGATCGGTATGCTACGTTTTATTTTTCAAAAAAGCTTCATGCTGACCTGTATTTCCTCAGCGGAAAGACTTCAAGGACTCATCCGGTGCGAAACCGGGAGCTTTGTTTCCGCTCACCGATGTATGGCTACCAGTACAAGCTGAGGTGTGTAGCGCAGTGATTTTATAATCAACATACCAAGTGGGGTACAGGTTCGGGCGCTCTTGCGTGACTATTTGACCGACGAAGAACAAGGCTCAGTGGCGGGGCGAAATCCGATATCGTCTATCAATGAGGTCCTACGAGAAGGTCGGTTCACGAGAGACAAACAAAAGGTCAGTGCAGAATATTGTTGCATTTCTCACACTAATCATTTACTTGCAGTCCATATTCCGATTTGCGGATACTGACATGAAGTCCACGGGCAAAGTCCTCCGACATCACGAGGACGAGCTGACTCGGGTCCTTCGAGATACCATGCCCGGTCTTGTGCAAAATTCTTCCGACAGTGCTGTCCAGGCGACACTGTCGACAGTCGGCACAGACGACCGTCTATTAGGTGTTGGGCAGCATCACCGTTTGCTGATCAAGCCGGATGCTTTCCATGTCAGCGTACTTTTCCAGCCCACCCTTGCTTTCTTGAACCGTGTGACGGAAATCCTCCCCGATGGGGTGGAAAGTGTTCGCTCTGCGAGTGGCGTACTAGATGATTTTGTCCTCAAGGTTTATCTGCCACAGTTGGAAGAGCGCATCTCTGAACTTTTCCATCACGCAGTGACAAGTTAGTTGATCTCGTTCATGTCACCTTATCTTACTCACAGTTCAACTAGGTCCTGATGCTTTCCAATACGATCAGATGTCGACCAGATTTAGTCCAAAACCAATATTCAGAGTTCGTGCTTTTGCAGGTGCTATAATATCAATCATTGATGCACGGTTATCCAGGCAACTACACAACTAATGGCACTGATAAACTCGTTATGCGCAATGCTTCGTACTACTCCGTTCCATCGGGAAAGTTATTCTCGCCTGATTGTTGGCGTAATCATTCAGTTCTATCAGCGCTGTAGTGACAAGTTCCAAGATTTGGTTTCTTCGATAACTAACATCCCTGACACATCACATCTGGTGTTGGCAGCTCAGTGGGCACAAAAATCGGAATTAATCCCGTGCTTAACAGAGCTCTTCGCAACACCCGTGCGTTTCGCGCACTCTAGATGCTCGTGGAACTGACGATTGTTCTGCAGCATTCTAATAATGTGATCAGGTGTCAGCTTAGTCGACAGGAAACACATCTAGAGCTGAATTACCTCGGTCAAGCTCAGATAGTCAAACATGACTTGGTTTCTTCAACCCGCAACTTGGCGAGTCTGTGTGGTCTTTACCGCAGTGTGGTCAGTTGCACAGGATGTATGAATTTCTCGCATTAATTCAATTGATCTATAGGCATGGTTCACAGAGGAGTTGAACGCACTGAAGTCATCTCCAGACGGTACACTCTCGCCGACTACACCTGCGGCACTGGAGTCCGCCAATGGCGTGACGCCGTTCACTCCCTCGGCAATCCCTACTTTTTTCTCGCGGAGTACTTATGACGAACAGCTTAGCCTTCCTCTGTCACGAGAAATGGCAATGTGGGTGTGCTGATCATGACGTTGGTCATCGTGCTCATATAGATTTCTAGGCGGTTCGGTGCCTTGCTTAAGACGTACTCCCAACTGGCCGAGATCATTCTGCATACCATTAGGATCGACATTCGCTGCCGAACAATGTACTATCTGGATGCAGCTATGCGACTTGTTGGTGTTGAATTGCATGTACTTGTCATCCTATTAATTGACTGCAGGGTAATTACAATATCGACCATGAAGCTGGCGAGCCTGACCCATACATCGTGGATCTTAACACCGAAATCAGCAATTGTAACGAGTTTGTGTCAGCAGCGATGCTCAAGGAGGAGCACGAGTGAGTATCTGCCTCTCGCCTCACATAAGCAATTCTCTCACCTCTCACAGATTTGTCTTTGCCGGACTTGAACATTTAATGGAACATCTCCTTATTTCCAATGCTCGATATTTGCGTATGGCGAATGGTTTTGGTATCAGGAAGATCATACGAAACACTCTGGCACTGCAGCAGAGCGTACGGACTATCGGCGACGACCAGCAGCATGTTGAGTTTGAGCGCGCGAAGAGTTATTATTCACTCTTCTTCCTGACACCCCAGGTACGCTTCCTTCTTTGCTTGTATATGACAAACTGCTTATGAGTCGAACCAGGGTTTACTCGACAGTATTCGTCAACACCAGAATTTCACCTTCGATGAGTATAAGACCATACTCGATCTTCAGTGTGGGGTGGATCAGTCCATCGGTGAAGCTGGAGTCGCTAAAGCCGCGGACCACAATTACAGCATGTATCTTATTGACCTACACGGTTTGGAGCTGGAGAGTTCCGCGGACATCAGTTGAGGTTTAATCAGACTTTGGACATCTAGTCATGTTTGTATATTTATAACTAGTACCTTGTGGGTGATAGCCACTGAAAGTTTTCTGACCACTTGAATGGATTGCCTCCTGACGATCACGGCCTCCGACTAGTGCCTTACCTGCTCGCCGGATACTTTTGATTCCACGCTACATCGTCGTCCGTCGCGCAGGGTAATGGTCTCCCTTGATTACGTGCCTTGAGCGCATTCGGTGCCAATGACACCGAGAAGCCGCCAGACTTCTTGGTTTTCATGTCTTCGCACACTGAGATGAATGTAAGGATGGGGAGCCTTCCCAGCAACTCCTGGTATCTCCTGCGCAACCATCGTCTTGGAAGGAAAGCACCAGATGCATTCTTCGGCTTTGTTGTTAATTGAACCAGCTCCTCGAGGACAGTGGTACCGTCAAAGCCAATTTTCCGGACAGCAGTCAAAGTACCCAGGTCGCTGCCTTCGTCGCCGACTTCTCGAGAAGGCGAAACGGAAATCTGGAGAGGTGGAAGCACTTTCTTCCACTCTTGTCTGAAGTATTTCCAGCGAGCGTTTACTTCCCGGCGTTTACTGAAAGGACCCAGTATCTGGGCATCAGATGAATTAGGGTCTGCACGTTGGGGAAGTATTGGTGGGAAACTGAGGTCGCCAGGTACCAAAGGTCTTTTCCTGCGGGCCAGACCCGAAGTGAGAAGTGCGGTAAGCTCTTGGGAGTATACGGGAGGGCGCGAGGATTCCTTGCCGGGGATGATTGGCGGAGGAAGTGGTGCATTTGGGTCAGACAGTAAGGGCTACCGGAATGTCATCAGGTGATCATGAGCAACGCAAACGGGCACTTGAACTCATCACCTCCATCAATTCCCACCTTAGTTTACCTACCCGTCCGTAGGCAAGGTCCAGGATACGGTTAAAGGACTGGTGGCTGCCATTATTTGCTGCACGGACTTGTTGTATGGTCTAACCAGAAATAAGACGAAAATCGGTGCTTGACAAAAGTAGCCTCGCCTTTAAAACTCTCTTGAGCTTCCCGGTCCTGCGATCATCACATTTATTCAGCAGCGCAGCGCGACAGTCATCCTCTGCCTTCAGACGGAAAACCCGACTACGGGCTATTAGTAATGCTCACACTGATCCGGGGATGGACCTCACCGAAGGTAAACGTGGGGTAACCGTCCAATCTCACGAACATAGCTTCTGTATACTGACGCAATTGCCTGCTGTCCATGATTCATGACAATGAGACGTGCTTGCTGGTATGTACTACAAACTGGTCGAGGGCGTGAGAGTCACAAATTCAATTTGGTATTATTTTGCCCGAGTGAATCGATACATGAGCTCGAGCCTCGAAGTTTAAACGAACTTCCAGCTCTCACAATATCATGGATCTTGATTCTGCACCAATTATTTCCCTCCCAGTCACTGATTCAGAAGCCACTAAGAATTCCTAACTGACGAAATATACTTGTTTATGGATTTTGGCATGGTCTTAAACAGGGTCGACCCCTGCAAACCACGGATCAGTGAGCAATTCTGCAGCACTGGGCCTATTTGCGGGATCCAGACGCAAACACCACCGTATCATAGCTGCTGTAGATATGATGTCTTCCTCCTCTACTACATTTTTGCAGCGTCTAATGCACCGCTCAATGTAATCCTGGCAGAGTGGTGGATCTGAACGTCGGAAACGACCTGCGTGTGAGGAATCAAACAATGCACAACTCATGAGGATCTGAGAAGTGACACCTACATGTCTCGCCATCAAAAAACACAATAGCTCGTTGGCTATCATTAAGTTGCTCTGGGAGAAACCTTTCGCCTGTGTAAGACATCATCTGCCATAAGATATAATTTGGCTCATCGAGGTTGAGGGGTGGCCAGGGTTCGAAATTAAATAAAGGTAGATCAGTGACAAGTTCGAAGATCTGAGAAACATTTGTTTGGCAGGACATAGCAACAGAGCAGAGAGAAGTACACACCAAACATCCAAATGACCATATGTCCACAGGTTTGTCCCAGGGTCCTCTTATGAAATTTTCAGGCGGGCGAAGATTATCCCATGAATGGATCTCATCAATGCTTGCACCAATAGGGAGGGCTGAAGCAACTCTGAGTCAGCAGAAGTAAGTAGAAACATTGGAATTCACTTACAACGGCGGAATTTGCCAAGATGAATGTCCTCTGCATTGCCTCCTGCAGAGTAGGTACTGGAAGTGGCTGTGACACTGCAGCCTGCATTCTTCCATCATAAGATTCCTCTGGAGGATATCGGCGAGATGGGTCAGACTCGAGTAGGTCATCGATATCAGAATTGGACATGCAATTATCCAAAAAGATGGCCTCAAAGGATAAATCAGTGTGGACCACACCACGGCTATGTGCATGAGCAACTCCACGTAGTGTGTGTAGAAGAATGCGTTTGGTAAGGGGGAGAGGGAGGGTTGGGCCATTGTAAGCTCTGAACAGTCCAATCAAACTTCCGCCTAGGATCTGTGTAACTAAGCAGATGTGATCCCCTGAACTGCCTTTGCCAGGAAGTGTGAAGTGAGACAGGATTCGAAGACAGTGGGCATTTGGTGGGGACAAGATCCGATACAAGGTCTGAAGCTCCCAAGCATGTTGTGGCCGGGCCACAACAGTTGCTGCACCAGTGAGTATCTTGATAGCAACAAATGCATTCAATTTCTATCAACTTTGGTCACTCTAAGTTGTTTGAAAATCTGAATTTTGACTTTACATTCTGTCACGGGCAAGCCAAGTACTTGAATATATGCTCCACCCGAGCTTTCTGCAGATAATATAGCGGTCATCTGGGCCAATTGCCTCGTTGAACTCGAGCTGAGGCCAGCCAAAACTGTCATGAACTGGCAGCCCCAGTGGCTCCTCAAAGAATACCCGATTGTCGACACAAATTTTGTCATCAGGGGTAGTGACGGAGAGAGATACATGCTGTCTGGACGGCTCGACATGTTTTGAAATTGCAGAGGTCATCCCATCAGAGTCCTAGGCTGAGCAACTGTAGTTCGAAGAAAGGTCACGGGAAGGATGCGAGAGCGAGGGATAGATGAATACATCTTTTTTACAGTGAATAACGAGGAAGATGCTTTGGATCCACTGGAAAGGGGTCAGGGCTTGTAGGGACATGCCGTGGCACTGCACCTTGGCATGCATGACATAAACCACACCAAGCGCAGCAAAAATGATCCCATAATTCAGGAGTACAGATACGAAATGGAAAGAACATTGTGTGAGCGGCAGGTAGCATTAATAAGTCAAACGGAACATGAACTGGAAGCTATACTGTTTCGTATCAGGATCCCAATATGACCAGTTCCAATATCCGGCATCGTCAGCTTCGTCTTCTATCTCGCGCGCAGGAATGCGGAAAGCAATTGTCTCGTACGGTTCAGCAGCCACCTAGCATCCAATAAGCAACGTGTAACTTGGGAAGTAATCGCACCTACGATTAGATACTGGTATGCCTTGTTCGGAGGCTCCCTCTTTTGCTCCCAAGCGCTCATAAATCGTCGGCGAGGGATGACGTCTGCTTTGATCTGAGGAAGGTGGACCTGGACCATCATACCTTCTTTGCCAGTATCTTTGTCCCGCACTTTTGTCACTCGGTATCCTGGGCGTCCTATTTTGAGGAATACTTTGCGTTGTACATTGCTTTGAGTTGGAGCAATCATCAACTGCGTGTCCTTGGCATCGCGAGCAGCACGACGAGCAAGATTGGTCTGATGCTTCTTTCCCTGAGTGTGAGCCAAGTATGAACCTTCGTTGGTGTGAAGCGTCAGACAGAGACGACATTCGAGGCCACCCAAGTGATTCCTTAAGATATAAGGATCCTAAACGACACATCAAGTTATCATTGGAATGCAGGCAAAATAAGAGCGTACTTTGGCAAGGTCAATCGTCTCAAGCGCAAGTTTGCGCAAACGTTCACGCCTGTCCACGTTGGTCTCCGAAGCCCCAGCGACACCACCTCCACCAAACTTGGAGCCGACACGGTTCTGGAGCAAGGTGAAATTGGATTCTCAGATCACACCAGAACATATGACTTACTTGAAAATCTAGAAATATCGATGATCGAGGAATATCATTAAGAACAAAGAGAGAGACTCACCCATAAGTTTGCGAGTACGATGAGGTCGATGGAAGAAATGCAAGTGCTGACATAATCAGCTGCTTGTAATTTCTCGGAGTCGCTCAAAAGTAAGTAACGGGCAACCCACACCAAAACTCGCAAGCTGTAAGGCATCCTCAGGCTTCCCCTCCATTACGTGTCGGACGGTCAGATCCAGTGTGCTACGGTGTTGACATCCACCAATCCGGGCATTTATCAAGAGCATGGCGGGCCAGAAACGTGCTCTAGAGGATAACTCATCCCGCAATGTCAAAAAGAGTAAACTTGTGAAAGATAGGCTAACAGACGTGCCGGAAAAACCTGTTCAACTCATATCAAATCTCATGAACGAGGAGGTTGATTTTCCACGAGGAGGTGGAACTAGCCTAACAGCTGCAGAGGTTAAAGCTATCCGAGCTGAAGCGACGCAAGAAGCAAACGAGGAGCTATTTGCTGTGAGTTCTGCCGTCTTACTACAAATTCGACTCAGTAGAATTTTTTATAGGCGTCTGGGAAGTCTCAAAAAAAGAAGAATAGATCCGACGCCAAAAGCAAAGTGAGTGTTACACCGAAGAAAGATGTAATTCGCATCGAGCATCTCAATTACAAGGTAGCTTTTATATCGTGAAGCTGGGGAGCAGGGGCTCAGTCACATATTTGCAGCGCATCGTTCCGGGTATGAAATTGCTTGGTCAAATCGCATCAATACAACCACTGGCTCTCATTATATCCCTACCGAACCAACTCATGGGTCACGTCCCCATCACACAAGTTACATCTCAGTTGACTAATCGTCTCGAATCAATGCATGAACAAGAAGAGCCTTCAGATACCGAATCCGTTGACGACGGGGAATCCGATTCTCAGACGGAGGTGCCCGATTTGTTCCAACTCTTTCATGTGGGACAATACGTTCGTGCAATTGTAACCAATGTGCACGCATCAGGGTCTACAGACGTTTCTGCCCTCGGAAAATTAAGGGATGAAGCCGCTAAAGCTAGTCGTCGCATTGAGTTGAGTCTTGTACCCAAGACAGTAAACTCTGGAGTTCTTAAAACAGATCTCAAACCTGGCTTTGTGAGCAATGTCTCAGATCACATTTTATCACGATTAAGCCTTGCATAGACACTCTCAGCGGCTGTGCAAAGTGTAGAAGATCATGGTTACATTCTTGACATCGGCGTACTGGGCTCCTCTGGTTTCCTATCCTTTAAAGAAGCCAAAAAGGGTGGTTCTGATGGTTCAAAGCTTCATGTTGGCCAATTGCTCGATACCGTTGTCGTGAAGATGTCCAGCAACGAGAGAATATGCACAGTTTCGGTCGATCCTCGAGGCATACAGTCATCTTCAGTCAGTCTTGCTGATCACGATTTGTGATGTCCCTCACTCATGTTCCAATTCACAGATCACAGAAGTCAGTAATGTCACCTCCGTATTGCCTGGAATACTAGGTCAAGCATTGATCACGGCGATTTCACCAAGCGGTATCAATTTACAGATACTTGGCTTTTTTGACGCAACGGCTGACGAGTTTAACGTGCCTACTAACCCTGCCAAAGCATTCAAGATAGGGCAGAAAGTGAAGGTCCGAATACTGTACGAAATTGCCGGAAGTTCGCCGCCGAAGTTTTCTGTGTCGCTCTTGGATCACATTGTCAACCTGAAGGAGAAACTTTCCAATGATGATGCTCCCATTCACTCGGCGTATCCTGTTGGCACGATCTTGGATGCTGTTACTGTGCAACGCGTAGAGCCGGAACGAGGACTCGTCGTTGAAGTACAGCCCCACCTTGATGGGTTCATTCATGTAAGGTTTTTACATCATTTTATTGTCTTATACTAACTCCACTTCCTTGATAGATATCTCACACATCTGATGGTCATGTTCCGACGCTCTCTTCCTCCTCGGGTCCATGGAGATTGAACACCATCCATAGAGCGCGTGTCATAGGCTATCATCCGTTGGACGGATTACTGCAGCTCTCCCTCCGACCTTCAATTTTAGATCAAAGGTTCCTTCAGGCAGGTGATATACGAGTCGGAGAGGTCCTGAAAGGCACTGTAAAACGCCTTACTGATTCCGCCCTATTCGTGTCGATCTCTTGTAATGCGGACGGCATCATATGGCCAAATCACTACGCAGATATACCGCTCAAGCATCCGTCAAAAAGGTTCAAGGCCGGAGGCAGCATAAAATGCCGAGTACGCGATCATAATCATTAGATGTGATACATGCTAAGGAAATTTGCAGGTTCTTGCCGTCGACCCCGAACGCATGAGAGTTGAGTTGACGGCTAAAAAGACGTTGATTGAATCTACTCTGCCAGTCCTGACCTCTATCGAGGAGGCGAAGGTCGGAATGATCACAGACGCAGTAGTGTACCGAGTTGTGGACAAAGGCTTGATTGTCCGATTCTACAACGATCTCAAAGCATTTGTGCCGTCTCGAGAAGCAAGGTTTGTTCAATTCCACCGTTAGCTCTGCTTTTGATTGACATTTTGCTTCACAGTGACTATTCAAGCAAACTGAAGGACATGTTTGCCGCGGGCAGAGTCGTCAAAGTACGAATTCTAACTGTTGATCTGAATCCACCACGAGTTGTCGCAAGCATTCGTCAGGCGTCATCATCAAAAGCTGCCAGGACCAATACTAGTGACATTATATCGAGTGCTGTCGCAGAGGATGTAGTGGCGGTCCACAAAACACCAGCTGTCCCGTCACTGCGCCCATCTCATACTCACGAACCCATCCCTTCAAAGGCACTGACTAGCAAACGTAGCAGTCCATTGCCACAAGTGAAGGCTGTGCACACCCAGTCGCAGTCGACGCCAAGATCCCCCACTCCCAAACAAGCTGCGCCTTTGAAAGTTGAAGGGTTTTCTTGGTTCTCCGGTGACGCTAGGTCTGATGCTGAATCTGCTTCTTCTTCCGACGAAGGCAGCGAAGAGGACGAGTCAAGCAAAAAGAAGAAAAGACGCAAGAAGAAAGAGATTGAGCAGGATCTCACTGCTGACATGCACTCGAAGCTTCCAGAGTCAAATGCCGACTTTGAGCGGCTGCTCCTGGGCTCCCCAAATTCATCCTACCTGTGGGTGCAGTACATGTCTTTCCTCCTCCAACTATCCGAAATCGATAAAGCACGGGAGACTGGCCGACGAGCGATTCAGACCATCAGTTTCAGGGAGGAGGAAGAGCGGCTCAATGTTTGGATTGCTTTACTGAACGTCGAGAATGTCTATGGCACCGATGAGTCACTGGAGGCTGTCTTCAAGGATGCTGCCCGACATAATGACTCCAAGACCGTCCATCTCCGCCTGGCGGCCATCTTAGATCAGAGCGAGAAGCACGAGGCAAGTTTGCTACCTCGGCTTCACTACTGTACTAATTACGAGGCACGCAGAAAGCAGAGGATCAGTATAAGCGGACCTGTAAAAAGTTCGGCTACAGTTCGAAAGTGTGGACTCTATTTTGCGAGCATTATTTGCGCCGCCAAAACTTGGAGCAGGCACGCAAACTGCTACCGCGTTCACTGCAAAGCTTGGAAAAGCGCAAGCGTAAGTCGTTTGGTGACATTCTCGTATTCAGACCTGAATTAGATGTATAGACTTGAAGACAATATCAAAATTCGCTCAGCTCGAATACAAACTCGGCGATGCGGAACGAGGCAAGACTATATTTGAAGGGATCGCAGACTCTCATCCGAAGCGCTGGGACCTGTGGTCGATTTATATGGATATGGAGGCAGGGCAAGGTGATATCCAATCGTTAAGGTAAGCACACTGCCCCCAAAAGTGCCCTCACTAACAGCGCGCAGGAACATCTTCAATCGTGTGTTTGCCATTAAAATGACTAGCCATAAGGCGAAGTACGTGTCCTACTACTTAGTGGAATTGCATGCGTTAATGTCGCGTAAAGGTCATTTTTCAAGAAGTGGCTTGAACTAGAGCGTAAGATTGGTGACGAGGAAGGTGCATCGGCTGTCAAGCAGAAGGCAGTCGAGTGGACACAAAAAGCTGCATCCGATTCACAATGAGTCGGACTCGAGATGTCGCAAATGTTGATGCATGTCACAATATATATGGAGAATAATTGACGTCGAACGAGGAAGCAACGGAGGGACGTAGAAGTACGAAACGAAACGAATGTGAGCATGAGCGGCGGTCAGCAATCAAGGTAATAAGGGTATAACTATATGTGCAAAGCAAAAAAATAACATGTCACAAAAAACAAGTGTTACGATCGCGACCGGGTTCGCTCATGTCCTACTAAATGAGAGGGAGATTCGAAATCACTTAGCGGTCGCCGGGCGCCAAACGAGCTAGCCATTTGTCGCTGCCAATCGTCCAGTTCATTCGACAGGTGCTCGAAATTCTCGGAGCTCGTCATGCTGGATGGTCGTTTGAGAGGCTGATCGACTTCCAGGAGAAGGTGAATTTTATGCGAAAGCTGTTCGTTTTCCCTTTTGAGGTTGGTGTTTTCGACGGTGAGCTGTTCCAGTAAACTGGCGCCACTTCCTTCGCGATATACAGCGAGAGTAGCATTCATTCTCTCAATCTCCAACTCTAGCTCCTCCACACGAGTCTGGCGTTCGTCAAACTCTCGCTGAGAGATGACAAAGTTATCCTTCATGATGTCGAGATCTTTCTCCAGTGTCTCCATTCTTTGACGGAGATCTTTGTTGTCATTGATTAAACGCTGACTTTGCTTCTGTGCATCAATCAACTGGCCGCGAAGGTGCTCGTGATTGTCGTCTGAAGGAGTGCTGCGACCGTTGACACCACGTCGCGGTTCAGTACTGGATCGTCCTCGAACAGTATCCAGTTCCGCTTGCAGACTAGCATAGGCAGTCTTCGTCCTCGTAACCTCATCTTTCATCCTTCGCATCATTTTTCAGTTCCTCTGCGATGGACGATTAGACCCAAGAGATGCACAAGTACTCGTGAAAAGGCTCACTTCACATAATGCACAGCAAGCTGATAGTCCTCTTCCATCTGGCGCATTCGCGCCTTATAGCTTCGTTCCGTCTCCTCGAGTTTCCGTTCAGCTTCAAGAGCGCGTGCGTCAGCTTCTGAGTCACCTTGGTTCACAGGACTCTGCATAGACCTCGATCGATCTTGTTGTTGTGACATCGCACTCAACTGAGCCTCAAGTTCGCGCTTCCTTCGAAGAGCTCCGTTGAGTTCCCGCTCTGAGCGCTCGTACATCAAGGAGCGTTCTTCCAACTGTTTCTCCAGGTCTGCCAGTCGCGAAGCGCTTCCCGAATTTGAAGAAGGTTCATCCGAATCTGGGATGATGCCATTTTCTGAAAGATAGTTCCGGAGCATTGCCAGGCGGATATTGGTATCAGCCGTCTCCTTCAACGCACCCCGCAGATCATTATCTTTTTCTGCAAGATCTTTGCGCAGACGACCCTGCTCCAAAACAGAGCTGGATAATTGCGCTCGGAGGCCCACGATTTGTGATCGTAGGAATGTTTGCTCGGATTCCGTCTGCCGTACCCTGCGCCGTTCCTCTGAGAGGTCCCTTTGCACTTCCTCCAGCTGCTGAGTGACCTCCTTCAGCATCTTCCGTAGAGAAGCAGCTTCCACCTCCATAGCCTCCATTTTCTCCGCATGTCCTCTCGTCAATCGATCTTCGTCCGCCTTGAGGTCACGATGCGAATCGAGAAGTTCGCCAAGACTGCCAGTGGTGAGTGCACGGATTGCATCAGCTTCTTCACGAGACTTGGCCCACGCGTTCTCAACCTCTGCAAGTCTGATCCTCGCTTGTTCCACTTCGGATGTGCGAGTCTCTAGGTCACCGCGTAATTCTGCAATGTCTGCCTCTAGCTGAGTGATATGATCACGAGCGCGTTGATCCTCTTCAGAGCGGGAGGAAATGGCTTGTAGTGCCGTACGGGCTTGATCGAGAGCGCGGATATGCTGATCCCGGAGTTGGCTCAACTCTTCAACCTGTCTCTTGACCTGGGAGATCTCAGCGTCCTTTTGCTCAAGCACCGAAGTCTGGCCAATAAGTCGATCGGAGTGATCTCGAAGCGCGGCCTCGACTTCCACGCAACGGTCACGAATTTCAGAGTGTTCACGAACAACACGATGGTGTGTCTCCTCCAGGGCATCAGCACGGTTGCTGGCGTCGGAGGACCGTGCCTCAGCCTGCTCAAGAAGCGTAGTCTGCAAGGCGAGCGAGTCGCTCAGCTCCTCTGTTGTCTTCTTCTGTGCAGTCTGTTCCGCTAGGAGAGTGGCAAGATGACGTTCAAGCTCAGCAATACGCTCTCGCTCTATTTGCGAGACCTCGCCAGGTGTAGATGCTTCGTAGGCAGTGAGCTTCGCACGGTAGTATGCAGCTTCCTGGATCGCAGCGGACTTCACGCGCTCGGCATCCGCAATGCGCTCAGAAGCCTCGCGGGCCTGATTGGCCAGGGTGGTCTGCGTCTCCATTAGAACGTTTCAGGTGTTCTTGAAAGGAGAAAACACACCTGCATCTGGGTCTTGAAGTGTCTAAAATTCATGACCATGTCAGCAAGTTTCCTTTGTTCCTCACTGGTATCATCTTGGAAGTCAATATCCTCGACTTCCAATGCTTCTTCGCCAAGTTGAATAAAGCCCGACCGGGATGCCTTCAAAAGCGCTGTCTTCATCCAAGCCTCTCGCCTCCGCAACGTTTCGACCTCCATCTCTTTGACCTTGTAATCCCGAATCAGATCAGCTGTCACATTCCCCGTTGAACCGAATTTCCCCTGGGCATGCCCGTTTCCGTTTCCGTTCTCGTTCGCACCGGGAGAACCACCTGATGGCTGATAGAAAGCATCAAGAGGTGGCCTGCTACGATCCACAACGGGTGATGGACTTCGGGCAGCCAGACTGCTCATCGTCACGCTCGCCACGTTGGGTGGCTGTACGTTGCCATAGGGATCGGATCCACTCTGAGATGTGGGGGACATCGCGCGGGTGACAACACTGAAGGAGTTGGGACTCCGTGCTCGGGTCTGGTCTGGAGATGGTGCATGATCTCGGGATGTAGTGATAGACTCGATGGTAGCACCGGTGTCTGTCCCGTTCCCATCATCTGTTCCAAACATGTCCCCATCATCTCTTCGAGGGCGCGTCGGTGCTTTACCTTTGGTGTTGGGAGATGACTGCGCAGGGGCACCATTCGGTGTACGAGTTCCAGGCCGAGTTCCTGGCGGAGATATAGCCCGGCGGAGGTCGTCTACGTCTTGAGGAGCACCTGTCGGGGACATGGCACGGATACCATTAGGCACAGTGCTTCCTGGTGCGGGTGGTCCTGGCGGAGGCGTAGGTGTTGCAGATGATTTTCGATCATTCTTGTTGGCCGGGGGTCCTTTGCTTGAATCAGGGTATTTGATGTGCTCTGGGCAATCCGTTAGCAATAACGTTGGTGGAGAAGTGCAGTCACGTACTGGTGTCAAGAACATTAATAATTCCATGGTCGTCGCCCTTGGTTGGCGTGAAAGACTCTCCGCCAAGAACAAAAACTCTAGTTCCCATGGACGCCATAGCATGTCCCGAACGGCCGCTAGGCGCTGGACCCATATTTTGGAACATGTACCACCGCTGGTCTGTACGCGATAAGCTTAGAACACGCCTATCATTCATCAAATCACGTACTTGACATTTTGAAAGCTGCCAAGTCGCCAAGGTCCTTGCCGTCTACACCCCGGCCACCAAATATATAGATGACGTCGTCGACTACAGCGGCTGCGTGGCCTTCCCGGGGTGAGGGAATAAATCCAATACATTGCAGTTCCGACCATGTCCTGGTATTAGTATCATACGACCACGTATCATTGTAATGGTATTGGCCATCTGTTCCTCCGAACCTGTGAAACGTGAATACAAACCAGTATTGAATGAATGACGAACATACACGATGATACGATCCTGGTATGTTACACAGGCATGTCCTGTGCGTTGGGCAGGACGGGCGGCTCCGACGGGTTGACACAGCTCCCAAGCTGTTGTTGTCCGTACTAGAAGCATAGCATAACATAAGGTTTAGGAAAATAAGCTTAAATTGAACGGGACTTACGAGTATTGAGATCAAATGACCAGAGGTCATTCAGGAACTCGCCATCTACCTGACCTCCGAAGACGAAAAATTTGGTGCCGACCATAGTAACAGCATGACCATAGCGTCCAGCAGGTGCAGGACCGTGCATAGCTACCCGGGTCCACTCTCGTGAAACTGGGGTATACATGAAGTATGGTTTCTCTGAACAATTAGGATGAACGCACCGAGATTCAGAAGATACAAGCCATCGTCTTGTTTTTCTGACTGATCAGAGGAGGGATCTGTTTTTGTGTCGCCTCCCCATATGATGAGAACGCTGCTAACGATTGCACTAGCATGACCGACTCGTGGCGAGGGTATTTCTCCGCCTGTCTGCACGAGAGTCGCGGAAAGATCGCGAGTAGAGAAAAGGTATAAATCATTGCGGGCGGTTTCGCGAACGAGACCACCAAAAAGATACAAGTCTCCCGAAGCAGTGGCTGTCGCGGGAAGTGCATGGCCATAGCGAGGGAATGGTGAAGGTGAAGGTGAATTTGGCGCGGCGACGCCAGGCTTTGGGATTACGAGCGGGGGCGGAAGGAGTAAGCGCCGTGCAGACCAGGGGTAAGCTGGCCGTTGTTGAGGCTGCTGGGAAGTTTGGGGCGGTGGTTGCTGCTGTGACTGGGACTGTTGTTGGGTTATGATGGGGCTGGTTCCGCGAGCTTGTTGACGTTGAGCGAGGGCTGCTACAGGGCCATTCGTGGTATTTGAACTGAAGTAGGATGAAGAAAATGATGAACGACTGTTGGAGAATAAAAGTTGAATATGAAGGACTCACGAATCATTATCGCGTAGGTGTTGAAGTTGAGGAGTATTGTCCTTTGCAGCCAGCTGGGCAAGAGCTTGGCTTGGAGTCTGAGCTACTGTTACGGATGAAGCAGCAAGCTGACTTGCACTAGGCTGCTTCTTCCTTGAGAAGAATGACATTCTTCGTGCTCTGTTTACTAGGATGGACGGTATGGTTGGCTAATAAATTTTGTTTGAAGAATTAAGAGTGAGTATGTGAAAAGGATGAAGGCTATGACAATTTGTTGTCGTTGTAGAGAACAGGAATTTGATAGGTGGTATAAGCAGTACTGTACTAGTAGAGCCTTACTGTGCTCGGTCGGTGTGACCGTAGTTGTATACAACTATTTGCTTTCAATCCTGAGGTAGTCTTTAACCTACTACCACTAGAGGTAATAAAATCTCAACATCACTTTAACAATCTCCGGTCTCCTTCGCAACGACCACTGCAGTGCGGCTGAGCTCTCTCTTCCTTCGGGAATCCAACGGGAAACCGTCTCACTTTTTCCCCACACTCGGCCGTCTTCGGCACCCATCAGATAGGTCTCACTGAAGCCGTCCATTGCAAGACTAACGCCCAGCTATCATATCTCCATTTGTACAAACATCAGCTTCTGACTTTATTTATCCTCCTTCTCATTACGCTTTCAGGAAGTTGGCATGGACTACAACCCTCCGTATCAGTATTGACACATTCCAGAAACCTGACAAGAACTTACAGTGAATATGGTCTGATGCAAATGTCGATATCTGTATATTCCATTGTCAGTACATCATTCCATCATCTAAAAGCAGAGACGCACGAAGTAGTAGCTGTGATCGTACCCTTCCTGCTTCCTTACCCGTACCTGTACCTCATCATGCCCAGCCACACGCGCAGCCTCAAGGAACTTGTCCGGGTGCAGTTGGTATAGGAAATTATCCGCGGTGCCCTGTTAAGCCCATTCTAATAAGAGCCAAAGAATAAACAAAAATTTGACGCACATAATCCACAAGTATATTCACCGCTCCCTTCACCTTCCCGATCATCGCTGTTGCATCATAACGGTCTTTCCCCTCCGCAACACCGCCCGCAAGATACCCAGAGAATGCCTTCGTCCCCCACGGCACCTCGGATGGCTCGCAGATGGGTGAAAACGCAGATGCGCTACGATATTGCTTCGTCCCCGATAATAGTGACGCAAGGTACACGGTCAGCGCCCCGTGTCCGCCCATCGAGTGTCCAAATATTGACTGGCGTGTGAAGTCCTGTGAATGTTGTCGTCAGGGAAAGAACAGGAGAAGATAAGAGACGCCGGGACAGACGAGAGGCAAGCCTGCTTTTTCGAGCACCTGAGGGAGCTCTTGAGTAACATGGCTGAGCATATTATAATGCTTCGACCACTTGGGATTCGTTGCGTTCAGGTAAAACCCAGCACCTATCCACCGCGTCCGCTGTTAGTGGGTAAGAACTTCAAGTTAGAGATTACCCACCACTGCCAAAATCCCAATCTACATCTTCACCATCGATTCCTGCGCCACGCGGGGAGGTGTCAGGGAAGAGCAGAGCGATGCCTTGAGCTGCCGCATCGCGCATGAAACCGCCTTTTTGAGCCCTGTTTCGTGTGAGTTTGCGGGGTCAACGAATGGGCGTTTAACACGTACCCATTATCCTCCGTGCAGGTCAGTCCTGCAAGATAGACAAGAACAGGGACCTTGCCCTGAGCCGCGTTGGCGGGGAGGAAGAGATTGAATTGGGTATAGGTATCCCCCAGATCAGCGGACTATTAGCCTCATTATCAGCGTGGCTGCGGCGTTGCCGCCACTGCCAAACAACGTACTCTAAATTTGTACTTTGCGAGCGTCCCCTCGTAGTGCTTGTTCGATGAAAGTTTTTCGAGCGACATGTCAGCGAGCTATAGGTTAGTGTTGAGATTCACGATAGGAAGATCAAAACTATTGAGTGTGCGAGCTGGCGAAACAGACAAGAATAATACGCGCTTGTTGGGCCTTGAATGCCTGTCTCATGATCATGATCCCCTGTTTCTCCGGTCCATCTCCCGGTCATGGTATTAATTTGTCCTACTCCATTATCTCACATCGGATGAAATGTGTTTTATTCCGTGAGAGATACTAATCAATGCTAAATCTCAGTAGTAAGCAATTAGAATACGATACAACTAGTAATGCGACAGATACTTAATATTGTATTTACGGGTATGGCACAATGCAAAGTGGTCTAGTCTCGTTCTCGCGTATGTGCTGCAGGCGGGGTTGACGATTTTCTAGGTGATGTAGGTGGGGTCTCCTCGTGAGGAGGTGTAGAGGGTAAAGATCTCTGCTTCGTTGATGGAGGTGTTTCTGGGGATGTCGGGAATCTCGATGCTTCTGCTGGATGGGGAGGGCGCTGGGGTACGGACATTGATTCTTCTTGCGCTTTTGATACCATCTCTCCAAGTGCAGGGTGCATTCTCAGCAGCGGGCTTGGCATCGACCTGGGAGAAGGACTGCTACCCAAGAGGTTTTGCTGCATTCTCTCCTGGTGACCTTCAACCATGCCATTCTCTAGCGCATCCTCCTCTCCCTCATTCTCCTCTACTCCGGCCAGCAAGTCTGCAACACCAAGGTAGAATGAAGCAGGCTTGAACGGAATCTCCTTCCCCCAAATCGAGGCCCACGTATATCGCGCAGCGTTCGTCCATCCAACAAGGTCTAGGTGGTTCACGGGAGAAAGGGTACCGAGATATGTGCCCTGCATGCGTATTCAGCGAGGCACACACACCAAGGAGTCATCCTGCACACTTACCCACTTGGCTGATTCGACGCTAACCAGCCCATCGTTCGGACCCTCCTTCTCCAAGATGACACTATGCGGCCATTTCCACGTATCAATAAGCCCTGGTTCATAACATGCACCCCAGCTAAAATAGCGCACACCCTCAATGTCAGGTGTCTCCTCGTTGAACCGACGCATGCTTTCTAGAGTAAGACATTCGAATGCCTTTCCATCACCTCCACCGTTTGGCAGAAGCTCGAGCAGCGCAAGGACGGATGGAAGATGCTGCGAGGCGAGCGACATGAAGTGGTCCGCGAAGGAGGAGCCACGATGTGGTGTGGCGATTGTAGTGATGCTTATCACGGAAAACTTGCGTTGAGTGAGGTGCGTTGTGAGGGTAACGGCAATCGAGGCCGCCCTGCAATGTATCAATGAGGGTGACCTTCTGCCTCAGTGCTCAGCTTACCATGCTGTGTCCTATGAGATGGATAGCTCGGCCAGGATAGACTTCTGAGATCTTCTTCTCGAGAACTTTTGCACGTTCTACAGGAGAACTGGTTGCAGGTACTCGCGTGATAAGAACTTCACAACCATTTGCCTCCAATGCTTCCTTGATACCACGCCAATGCGCAACCTGTAAGGGTGCAAGGGAAGGTCCAACGGTCACGGTATCAAAACCAAGAAGTCCATGGCAGAACACAACGGGAGCTTTTGGTGAACGATCTACACGCAAGCGGTTAGCCAAGGCCAAAGAGTGGACTACAAACATACACTTCTGATGGATTTTATTCAGCGACGAAGCCTGATCTTCCTCGTTGAGGAGCTTGCCCACGTTGTCCTTAATCCCCGAGTCTGAATCACTCTGGAACCACCATTTACTTGGAATAGGAGGAAGCGCAATCTGCGGTGCGGTAGATGCATGGATCGAACGCAGTGTGTCGATGGACGAACGAGCAGGTAGGGAGTGGTTTAGCGATATACATGGCTCATTAATGTGAGCTGCAGGATCTGTAGAAGATAAGGGGAGCCCATTTTGAAAGTGTGGAGGAATGGAAGTCACAGATGCTGACGGGAAAGTAGATAGGAGATTACTGAGTAATGGAGGTGGTCGACTGAGCAGGCGAGCAGGCGAAAAACATGGAGGCAGTCGTGCACGTGGGGGCACTGTCGGAAGGATGCTGTCACTCAACGCCTCGTTTAGTAACGACAGTCCCGGAGATGGCGGACGTGACGACGATGGTGAGTCATCTGGGGTCGACATTGAACTGGATGGTATGTCTCTGGCAGACAACGACGACGGCCACCGCACAACAGGTGTTGAATATTTCTGATTAGTACTAGTAGACATAGCGAGCGGGTGCTGGAGTGCCCATGAAGGAGGGGCAGACGCTGGAGAAGCGCTGAACGACCTGCCATGAATCCCACGTGCAGCCCTGCCATTATTGGGCTTCGCCATTGCAGCGGAAGTTGACCGGGTACCCCACATCCCAGACCAACTTGCAGGTATCTCCTCGTCGTTTTGATTATTGACTAGATGTTCGAAGCGGGAAGTTGGCCTCTTGAGAGTGGAGCTCACTGTGATCGACGGTGACGAAGATAAGTCATACATGCCCCTCCGCGAGTAAGTTACAGTACTGCGGCTTTAACGTGTCAATTAGAAGTGGCTGTGCTACATTTCTTCATCCTGTAATGCATGGACCGTCGCTGCTGTCCGTCCTCAAGCACCAGTGAAAACCGACAAGAGGCAGATCGAGGGAGGTCAAGGCATGATTGTGCTATTGGCATATGACGAGCCAGAGGATCAAGGAGTCTAGAAAGACAAGCACAATCTCCACACCCACCACCTACACGGGTTTCCAAAATATCATGTTCGTTATCCCCGTCCTGCCAGTCCTCTCCTATCTGTTTCCCACTCTTCAAGTTTCATACCCGCAGCGAGCCGTCTCGTTGTCCGTTGTCCGCCTGGCAGATATATGACGCCCTTGACCCAACTGTTGTATCCTTCAAATTTCTGGCTGGGCTTTATCGTTGATGTCTCCTGCGTCACAACAATGGATGAAGACACGATAAAATACTACGCACAGCTCCGTCTTAGCTTTCATCCAACACAGTCCAAAACCATCACTTACCATGATACGTTTCTTAGCAGGTATTGACGTCTTGACACCAAGACACAATGGGTCTATAGGTCAAGAGTGCACTGGAAGTCTGAGTTTGTATGCTTTGTATGCATCATCCTCGTGTTCACTTCACAGCATACAGCATGTATTGTGCAGCGGAAGCGCTCAAGCCTCATTTGTGATCACGAGTCGCATTCCATCATTCACAATTTTGATCCTCGTTCGTTTTCACTGTCTGGCTAATGTATCATCATGTGCTAAATTGCACCTCAGATCGTACATCCGCCTCTACCCAGCCAACTCCTCCAACGCGCTCGTCATCACTGACTCGTCAATGCTCGACACACATTTCGTACGCAAGTCGTACATTTTACTATGTCTCTCAATACACGGGAAACTATCCAGAACTTTTACAATCACTGATACCAACCACCATGATTTCCACCCCTCTTCTGTTGGTGCCCCAGCCAACACCGACCCGTACACCGTAGCGATGCACAGCATCGACCCCCTACTATAGGGTAGCATCTACATTACCATACAGTAGGAGGCGGAAATACATGTGATTCTGACATTACCCTCGCGAGGGCCGAAAGTGAAATTCCTGACACGACTTCACTCTACTATCCTCGTTAACATGGAACCAACACAGTGTAAAACTGTCTCCCCGTTCCGCCGATACCCGTACTCTCAGGCTTCTGGTGCGCAAGACATACATTATTGTGTCTCTCAGTAGGCGAAAAACCTCCCTGAATTCCCAATCACTGATACCAGCCACGTTCCATCTTTCTCCACAAACCTGGCGGTATAGCTTTGGCGGCAGATTGCAACAATACCGAATGTGGTCAAGGAGATGTCTGCCCCGAGAAGGCGTCGTGACTTTCAAACAGTCCGGATCACTGGGGGCTGATGTCCAGAGGCCTGGAGACAACGCCCTGAGTTTGAGGATGCAATATCCTGGAGCTGCTGAAGTTGGTCTTGTGTTGGATCAACAAAGGTGGGACACCCTCAGTGGAAGGGACAATCCGACAATGTACTCATTCTTGCAACAGGCACGGTGGTTGAGTCGTCGCCTCTCGTTGCGATATCTGCGCAACTGAAATACGTCGTCGTCGGCATTAAATAATACATTGTATAGCATATGCCTATTACAGTCCCCTCCGATCCCCGTCTCGTCAAGTTATCCGTCATTTCGATGTCAACAAGCCTAGTGCTGAGGTCGTTCTCATCATTTTTCGTCCCGAGACGACGTTTTGATCAGCCTATCGCACATGCACAACATGCATCTACTTTGATATGTTTTATTATTTGTTATCGCCTCAATTTCTGCGGTTATGATATTTCGCACATGTGTCTCTCAAATCGCATGATCTTCATGTTTTACTTATGGTCATTCGGTGCTCAAGCTTAAGTTACAACTGGCATATAATCATTCATGCGTATATAGAATATCTAGTATTTAGTAGTACGAAACTTGTGCAAATATGAGGGGACTGCCCAGGCGTTTGACACCGGTGCTCGTATTTATGACGGTTTGAAAAAATGAACAGCCAGAAAGTAGTAATAAGGTACAGCGACAAACCTTGACTGCTGCATCAAGAGCTCCTTGCTCTATTTCGGATCCGGGCTCCGTGACACTAAGCTACCAGACCAGCAAAACGTGAGTATACTGGTCTTGTTGGCGCAGATGACGGAGGAGTGGGCTATCGTCTCGCAGGAGCCTAAGACACGCACCAGGAGGTTCTCATCAGAGTGAAGAGAGTAATACCGGAAATGCTTCCAATCTTCACGATTAATTCCGCTAATGTTGAGCTTCACGGGCGTGAGCTCAGGAATAGAACTAGATTAGCGACCATGTTGCACTGGTACCTGTGTAATGCAGGATTCCAATGATGACGGACTTGGGAGAGGATTGACGAATGAGAGAACTGAAACCAGTTGAGCCGGGAGTGAGCGAAGCTCAAAGTAGAGATACATCATGAGCAGAGGGCTGGAAGTAAGGCACTCCTCCGTCACAGAAGCGGTGACGAGTTTGAGACGCCAGAAGAGAGAACTTCGGCTGCATCTGGTGCACAAGTAGGTCTTGGGAGTCGACGCCATGAATGGGTGATATTGCAGTAAGCTATATGCATGCGTCCGGAGGAGTGGCATGGTGATGTGCCGGAGTAGCTGCCTCGACACAAAAAACAGCAGTCATATAGGATAGAGAGTCAGATTCGAGCGTCGGGGAAGTACCGACAGTAGGCGCCTTCGTTGTATATGTCACAGAGGTGACTTCCCGGTTCCGACTGGTGGGTAATTAGAAGTGGCTGTGCTACATTTCTTCATCCTGTAATGCATGGTCCGTCGCTTGCCGTCGGTCCTCAAGTCGAAGCCTGCGACCCATGACAGTAAGCAAGAACATATTCATGATACCATGCGAGCTGAGTGACCTTTCTGAAAGCAACGACTACGCATGATCAGCTAATAGCTGGTCTCGCTCGTGTCACCTCTCCTCAAGAGTAAGTCATACTACATTGCACCATCGTGTTCTGATTCACCCACTGCTGTAGGACACCGATATACATATGTGCGTTTCAAGGTACGCGTTATGTTGTCTGATATCTATCCATTCACTAGCACCCATAGATTGCAACAGACTGTTCCCTTCACGCGAACGTGTCATGCTGCATCGTAAACGTGACCATAACTCAGAAGAAGATAGAGATATTATTACATGGAACGAATAGCAGCTCAACATGTTCAGACCATCATATATTCATGCTCAAGCCCCGATCCCCTAGACTTACAGGACGTCCCCGCGATTCCTGCAGTTGATAAAACAAACAGTTTTTTTACCACCACACTGACGACAGATACATTTATCTCAGAATCGGATGTGAACTGTTGCAATTGAATACCACAAAAGCACTGTACAAATCTAGTGCCACAAAACGCACAACAAGAGCAATAAAAACAGACTGTTGCAAACTGAATCACATGAAGTGGGCTCGGATCCGCTCCCGGTACGCTTGATCCAACTCTTCAAGGTCCGTGCAGATCCACCAACTCTTGAGCGCGGTATACACAGTTGCACGGTCCTGTGGGTCCGGGACAAGAAGGTGCGAGACGAGGATCTTGGCTACGCATCCGCAAATAGTCAGGGGATTGGTCATTAATTCGAAAGATACGGCTTATGGAGGACTGAACACAATAGGTAATCCTGGGCACGCACCATCGTGAAGCGGACCCCAGATCGGTTCATGGAAGCAAATCTGTCCATCAAGGATACGTTGTTTTGTTCTTTCATCTTGAGCCGTCGCATGTTGGGATTGGACGAAGCCTTGAGAGTCCACGATGTCTTCAAGTGAGATGCGAGATTGAGAAGAACTGACAAAATCGAATGGGTGACTTCCGCTTCAGCAATCCGGGCATTAACTCTGAACGTGATTTCCATGATAACAAATATAGCAGAACACGCACGTCAACATCGCAAAAAGCGTCACGCCTGCGCTCCAGCAGTCAGCTGGCATGCCAACGTAGCCAAGATGTTTGTGCTCGAGCGCCAGGATACCTTCTGGCGGGAGATAAGATATGGTGCCACAAACATGCAAAGTTTCTTGGTAAGCTTTTGGACGTGCAAGACCGAAGTCGGCGATCTGGATGCGTGGGTAAGGTCCAGGTGAGAAAAGTAGAATGTTTTTCTGGCTGTTGACGACAGAATGAAGTCAGCAATTTAAAGCACGCACAGGGCATTACCTTAAGATCTGCCTTAAGCTCAGCTAGGGCCTCGTGGGAGAGGTATGGAACCTTACCTCTGTGCGAGATCATACGATCGTGCAGGTACTTCAAGCCCTTAAGAAGTTGATACATAATGTACTTTGCCTCCCCTTCGCATAATCGATGCTTGGAGTGCGTGGTGATGTACGTAAAAAGGTCGCCGCCGGTACAGAGTTCAAGAATAATGTATCTGATGCACACGATTTGTCGCTTCAGTAGTGAACCAAAAAAAACAAGCGACATACAAGAATTCCGGATCTAAATCGACAGCATATACCCTGTTAATGTTGGGCTGCTTATATTAAGATCGTGGCATTTCAGGACGAAAAAGTGAAAATATGCACGAACGTGGTGCAGGTTCATGAGCAGTGTTGCTTCCTTCATCTCTTTTCTGAGGTCATTACCTTCTTTGCGCCTAATAATCTTGCAGGCGGCTTGTTGGTGACCTGTAGTATCAAGAGCAAGCTGTACGGTGGCATAACTTCCACTCCCGAGGCAGTGAGATGTGATTAGGAATCGACCGAGGTCCTGTATGAACTCTTTAGAATCAAATATGTTGCTTTGGTGAACAGTAGCAACTTTGTATGACTGCGTTTGTGATTGAGAAGGCTGTGACGCGTGTTTTTCGTGTTTTTCATAAAGGTGTCTCCACTTGAGTATGCACTGAAACGCTGGTAACCGGTCAGTAAGGCATAAAATGAAGGCGGCGCATGCATACTCTGCGAGGCTGGTATTCTGAGTGTATCGCCATTCATGACGATGACAGATGTTTTGCGAATTTTGTGCCCATTCAAAATGAGTCCATTTGTCGACAAGTCCTTCGCAGCAGTCAAACCAGTAAGATAAGTCGGTACAACTTAAAGTAGCTACCTGGCACGATATAATGATTCCTCCGGTGCTGGACTGGACCCTGCTCAACGTGTGTCAGGAGACGTGTGAACACGTAAAACATGTAAGCTGACGCGTGTATCTTGCAATGTAGGCTGGACACCACGATATCTGGTATCACGTACGAGCTACATATGAGTAAGTGAGTAAACAAGATCACCCAGGGCAGAAGATGCGTCAAGTGACCAAAGAGACGGGTTCCTTCCAATGGTAATCGGCTTCCCAATACTCAGAGCGATTGCTGCGCAGCAGATCGTTGTTAATGATCACTGCCGCAACAAGACATAATTCATACCTTCCGTGCGTCCATCCGCGGTCGTTGTAACGAATTTGGCGCATACATCCGATCTTGACAGGGTCTGCGAACGTGCCGACTTTGAAGAAACAAACGAGGGTACAGGCTGAGTTGGTCCTAGCGAGCGTGTCTGTGTTGCCATGCTTGGTAGATTTAGAGAAGAAACAAGAAGCGACGTAGATGCGGCTTGAGACATTTATCCAACTGTAGAGGGGTCATTGCTACTTTTGGAATTTGACCCGACCATTCTCAACATAGATAAATGTGTGTTCCACCAGCGACTTAGGCATCAATCATATCCCTTGCCACTCCTCTGCTTCACTCGTTTGTTCTTTTTATCATGCTTCTTCCCAGCCTTACCAGCACTCGCCGACACGGCGGCCTGTTTCGCGCTCCCATGTCCCAATGGAGTACCATCGTCAGCCACCATATTCTGATGAGGATATATTCTTCCCCTTGAGAACTCTTGCCCGTTACGAGAGGTACCTTGTAAAAATGCTCGTGCCGATAGATTCGAATTGTTAGCGAAGAAGTCTTGGTCAAGAGCTTGAGATTTCAGCCCCTGCCCTTGAGCAACAAGCATGGGAGACGGATTAGCCGGCACAAATGTATCCGCGCCTTTTCCAACTCTTGTTACGGGTGCACGTTTCTTTCCCGTCATTCTCAGCAATGATAGTTCATGGGTTCTTTGATTGAAAGATTCTTCAGGTGTGCTCGGCGGTGGGTGGCAGAAAAGCAGCTTCCCATTGACATAGTCCTTTAGGACATACCGTGCTGCCCGTGCCTCGTCTGGATTACCTTGACCGGACCGCATGAACCCTCGGGCAACTGTTGACTGATGAAAAAAATGGTTATTTCAACCAAACGAAGAGTACTCACTCGCATAAGCGATCAAAAAGTCCTCCGCAGTGATCTTGCCGTCACCCCCCTCTTCTACGCTCTTGAATTTAATGGTCAAACCGTAAGTCGCTTCAAGCACCTCCTTTGGTATTCGCTTGGCTACCAGAGCTACCGGGCCAGAGTACTCTCTCATTTGGTCAATTGGTAACACACCGTCGCAAACCAGTGCGGCCTTGGTCGTCGCAAATTGCGGGAATACTAATCCAGGACAGTCGCAAAGTACTATCGCTGGAGAGAGATGAATAGTTTGAAAGTGCTTTGTCTTTCCGGGAGTCGAGGAGACGGAGACTTTTTTTTCTCCAAGAAGGGCGTTGATTGTGCTGGATTTACCAACATTGGGATAACCAACGAGTCCAACCACCAGTTTTGTTGGAGGTTCTCCGGATGGGCCAGCAAATACTGTCGATTGGTGAGCTGTAAGCCTTGATTTAAATTTAAAAAACAATTGAGCTTCACTTGATAGATCTGGAGCAGCTGTGACGAAGAGATCTTCGAGCTCCAACACTGATAGAACTTTGGTACGAGGATCCTTTCCGTCGGGATTATCTTCCTCTGTTTGAATGTACTGATGTTCGTCCTCTGTGTCGCTTTCGGAATGAGGCGGCGATTCCTGCACCGACTCTTTTGCGAAGTCATCGTCACTGACATCGTCGTTGGGTGTATCCGGACCATCTGAATCGGACAGTGAAACTTCGTCTTGAAGTTCTTCTTCTTCCGTCTGAGCAATAGCATCCCGGCGGGCTTGCTGTAATGCAGCAGCATTCGCAGCGGAGAAGAATGCGTATTGTATCCCTTGACCATCAAAATAATCTGCCCATATTCGCCTTGGGGTGAAAGTTAGAATAAATATAGGCATTCGAATAAAAGTAAAACTACGCTTACCTTTGTGTGGCAGTGAGTAGATCGGCCTTGTTGATCAACAGGAGTGTCTTGCGCTTATCTCTTCCGGTACCCGCCTCGCCTTCTGCACCTTCCACATCTTTGACATACAACTCAAGATCCTCGCACCTAAATCTTAGCGGATTGCGAGCATCTACGATTTGCACCACAAGATGTGATCGCTCCAAGACACGCCACAACTGCCTCCAGACTTCGATATTGCGTTCGAACGGCGTTAACAGAAATTTGTCCTCCTCCTGAAGTCTTTAGCGATACCGGTTAGTGGCTGCAGAAGATCATGTGTTTTCCCACATACTGAGCGAGCCCTCTTCGCCACTCGAGGAAGGCATCCTTCTCCTGTCGGTCTAATTGTGATGTTGTAATCGCTTTCGTCCATGGAGGTCTTCTGGGCACCCTGAGTCGCTCCTTATTTAGCTGGTGCTTCTTTAAAGTCGATTCCTCCTCCTGATCGGTGAGAAGATGGGGATTGTGTGTTGATCCTGCAGGGGACTGGATAATCTTGACATTTCGTCGTTCTACCTTTTCGCGTGAGGTCATAAACAAATGGAAGTCACATTCACGCACCCGCCGTAAACTCTGTGCCCGCCAACTGTGCTGTGTTCAGGAATTCATCTAGGTCTCTCTCCTGCGTAACAGATTTAAGGCGGGTTGTCGAGTCAACTTCGGTTGTATACTGAGTACATGAGTAAACGTATGGAGCACAAAAAATATCGCGTACAAGACCGGACTCTTGTCTTTCTTTGGCATCCTTGAACTTTTTATTGATGATGGCTCGACCAAGTCCCGAGGGATTCTGGTTCTTCTGTCTTGGTGGCTATCATTGCATACTGTAAGCAGTTGGTGTTTCACTCTTGCTTTCGACTCACCATATCCCAAAAATTCTGATCGGATTAGAGTCTGAATGAAGATGGTCCTGAGGACCGACCTCAGTGCACTGATTATCGATTGCTGTATTTGGTCATGAGCTTTGAAGTTGGTGCCGGTTAGTCCTGTTCCTTTTAGACCACTAGGACCTTTAATTTATGGTCTGGCCATGGAAAACCACTCCGTTCACCCCTAGTCTTCAGTCCCAAATCAACCTAGTACTGTAATCAACTTGATCAGATTAAGTACCCATCTACTTAATACTGTCCTTCGACGTGGAAGGAACACCACTGTTGAAGCCAGTTGTAGAAAGGCCTGGCCCTGAGCCTACAAATCATTCACTATGCAATTGAAGTGGAACGTGAAGCCCGCTGATCAGCTGTGATCTGGCGAACCAGTGCATTTATAATGCCTTTGATGTGCTTCTAAACTTGTCTGCACCAAGTTGGT